ATAGAGATAAAAATAAATACTAATACTAATAATATAAGTAAGTTGGTTAATACATCACTTATACACACATACATATACACATACACACAAACATATATATACACATATACATATATACATACAGCATACACACACACATACACACATATATATATATATATACACACACATATATATATACATAAATACATACATACATATATACACACATACATACATACATACATACATACATACACACACGCGCACACACACACGCACACACACACACATATATTATATGCAATTATTTGTTTCAATTCAACGTTTTTATTGTGAAGAATAGTTGTAGTTATATAATAATTGACAAAAGGTAGTAAGGTGTAGTTAACAAAAATAACTAATCAAATGCTTAACACCTTCTACATAAAATAATGTCAAGGAATTTAAATCAAGGATACTACAATCTGTTGAATATGGACGGACGTACAACATGAATAAACATTATACATAAATATAAAACATAATCAAAATAATATAACCAAAATTTTAAATATACATATCAAATAAATATTTTTTTACTTCTGCAACAAATCGTTTTCTACAAATAATATTTTTAATAGAAGGACTAAGACCATTCCATAATTTTGACCAACAAATGAAATTCTATGTTTGCCTAAATCAATACAGGCTTTGGGCAGGGCAAAAATAACACTTGTATTTAATCTAGTATTGTATGAATGAGTTATAGGCATGAAAGTAATCATAAATTGAATGTGGTGTTCTGTCGTGAAAAGATCAGAAATAAATGTAAGCACATATAACTCATTTAATTTATATATATCCAGAAATTTAAGATTAAAAAATAAAGAAGCTGTATGTGCTCTAAATTGTGAGAAAGTAATACATCTTACTATCATCTTTTGTGTACGAAAAATTGGTTCAAGATACGAAATAAAAGTGCTTCCCCAAACCTCAATACCATAAGTCAATAGAGGATATATAAATGAATAACATAAGGTAACCAATGTATTTCTAGGAACAAAATGTCTTAATTTAAAAAGAAACCCAACATTCTTTTTAACATTTTCACAGACATAATCAATATGTGACTTCCATAATAAGTTTTTGTCAAAAATAATACCTACAAAATTAACAGATAAACTCTCTTTAATTATAACATTATTTATAGTTAAATGACCTTGTTTAATGATAGCTTTATTTTTAGAATACATATAGTTAGTTTTCTCTGGATTAATTGTCAGCTTATTGGAGTTGCACCAATTAATGGTTTTTTGAAATTGAATATTAAATATAGATAAATCCTGGAAATTACCAGAAAAAGAATGAAATAAATTCGTATCATCTGTAAAAAGTCGAAAGTCAAAAAAATCCGAAGAATTGGGTAAATCATTGATATAAATTAAAAAAAGACTAGGTCCCCAAGACAGAGCCTTGGGGAACTCCACAAATGATATTTAGTGTATCTGAGAAATAATTGTTTAACGAAATAAACTGTTTTCTATCACTAAGATAATTCTTCAGCCAAAGATGTGCATTTCCTCGAATACCATACTGAAATAATTTAGAACATAATATAGAATGATTAATTGTGTCAAATTCTTTACGAAAATCAATGAAAATTCTACAAGAATATTTTTTTGTTATCAATGTCAAACTGAAGCATATTAACAAGATTAATTAAGGATAATACAGTACTGAATTTCTTCCTAAATCCATATTGGTGTTTATAGAACAAATTAAATTTTTCAAAATAATTAGTCTTTCATTAAATAAAGTTTCTAGAAATTTACTGAACACAGGAAGAATAGATATAGGTCTATAATTACCAAGTAACTCTTTTTTACCATTTTTAAACAATGGAATAACCCGTGCAGATTTAAAAGCAATAGGAAATTGGGATTTTTGAAAAGAAGTATGAAATATATGACAAAGAGGTAAGTAAATAAATGGTGTTGCAATACGAATTAATTTAGCAGGAATATTGTCATATCCTGTAGCCTTCTTTATATCAATAGAAGCAAGTAAATTAAAAAATTCAATTGGGGATATAGGTTCTAAAAAAAGAATTAATAGATGGTGAACCACAATACAAAGAAAAATTATTTGACCTACCAACTGCAATGTTTTTTGCCAGTTCAGGACCAATGTTTGTGAAAAAACGATTTAAATTCATTTACTATGTCATTTGGATCAGAGATTACGGTAATATTGCCAGTTTGATGAGAGATAACGATTTTATCTGGTAAGTTTAATGTGGTTGATTTTCTCCCAATCAAGGTATTGATAATTTGCCAGGTTTTGGCATAATCATTCTTATTATTAGTGATTAAGTCATTGTAATATTTTTTCTTTGTAATTTTTAGTAGTTTAATTAATGTATTTCTATACTTTTTATAATTTGAAAATAAAGTAGGTTCAAAATTTGACTTAATAACATT